TTACCAACTTGCTCTTCCTTCATAGATTGTACCAATTTACACATTCCTCGGCAGTGCCATTTCTATAGCATTGCCAACAAGTATACATTTTCAAACTTGGATTTTTGCCAGCTTAATGTGTGAAGAGCAGTATCTCAGTATAGTTTTAATTTGTATTCTATTATGAGTGAGATTTCATAATTTTCAAAGCCATTCTTTTTCAAAGTCATTTTTATATCTTTAGCCTAACTTTCTGTTGGTTTGTGAAATAATATTTTAATAATATTTTATGATTATCATTTTTAGTATTTATAGTACATTGTATTATGTTATACCATTTTTAATGTTTCTGTAGTTGTGTATTTGATGTCCTTTTGGAGTGTGGCTATTATATTTATTTTGCTAAGAACAGTTATTGAAAAGTTTTTTCCACTTTAAGTTCTTTATTTGGGAATCAAGAACTCTAGGATCTGTTGTAGGTTTTGATAGTAACTAGCTATGAATAAACCACATTACTTATATGGATCTCATTTCCTTCATCTATAAAATAAGGATGTTGAATTAAATGATTTCCTGGTTCTGTGACCCTTTGAAATATACCAAAAGCAATACATTAAGTTTAATAGTCTTGACCTTCTTCAAAACTGTTCTTTCTCTCTCTCTCTCTTTCTCTCTCTCTCTCTCTCTCACACACACACACACACACGCACACACACACACGTCATTAAAAAAACTTTAATAGTCTTAAAATAATAGAAACAGAAACAGCAATGATATACTGTTACAGGTTTTTTAAAAACCTGTTGTGTTTCTTGATGAATAGATAATACTTTTCTTTGGTAACAAAATTATCTTGCCTCTCTTGACATTTCCTGGTTAGAAATACCTCTTCATCTTTTTTCAATTCATATCAAAGTTATTTTTTTAGAGGCATGCCTTTTTGTGTGTGTGATTAGAGGCTGTTAGTAGAGAAAAATGCACTGGTTTTGCTTTTATTTAATCCACATCATAAATGTGCATGTTAATGTTCATTACTGCTTAACTGCTGCCAATTCGCCCATTCAATTTTCTAGATTCAGTTGGAAAGCCCATCTTAAATCTGTTTAAATTGTCTCTCATCAAAAATTAACACATTCAACTAGCTACTCTATTTCTTCACTACACAGTGAGGAATTAAATTATAATAGAACCTGTTCTCAGTGGGGTTTTTTTCCTCTATTTACTGGGCATCTATAAAAATTGCACTAGTAAAGATGAATAGATGTATCTTTTGATGTGTACTTTGAGGAATGAAATTAGAACCAGTGGTGAAATGAGATGTTGACAGTAACATTCGAATTACACTATCGAAATGTAGGTTGAATGTTAATAAAACTCAGAAATTCCAAAGTTTAAAAGTCTTCTAGAGCCATCGCATACAGACATAGATTCTCAAAACCAATAAATCTTAAGTATATGCTATGTTCTTAGTCTCTCCCCCCGGGCAAACTAGATTAAATTTTGCTGTTCAGTTTTTCACTGTTGTGCAGCACATCTAGACAATTGTCTCATTTTATCGATGGGTAAAGTCTTCCCTAAGGAGGAGAGATGAGCTTCCTCTGTGCACAGCTGTTTAGTAGTAGAGTTAGACCAGCTCCTGGGTCATTGGGTTCGTAGTCCATTTCACTTTCTAACATAATACTTAGTATTGTCAGTATTGTTTAATCTCTTTCTTCTTTTTATCTTCCACATCTCCTAGGCATTTAAATAGTTATGTGTGTTGAACATGGATATCTGATAGTTTTGTTTCTCTTTGAAAATTTTTATTTTATTTTTGGTTTCTATGCTAATCATCCTAATCTAGGCACTCAACATCCAATACGTAAGTTATTAGTTGCCTTCTGACTGTACTCACTGCCGCCCTATTAGCTATTTTTTGCCTTTGGTTCTTTACAGCTTATTCCATTCACTGCTAGTAGATATTCTTTTAAAAATGTTTTCATTATGTTCTTTTCCTGCTTAAATAGTTTGGTGGTTTCCTGTTGTATATATTATCAGAATTCTCAGCCCACCATTCAAAGGGTCTTCTCAAGTGATCATGGCTAACTTGTTTGATCATATGTTTATTTATTTTCCTTATCTGACCAGAAGTTGTAAACTTATCTTCTAGCCTTATACACCTCTTGCCTGTTGCAGCCTGTGAATTGGTTGTTATTTGTCATACACATACAAAGTGCCATTTTCTTTCTGTCGTCAGTGATGAATAATGTTTTCTCCAAATACGTATGTGTTGTGCTCATTTTCATTACAGAAAAAAGCAGTGCTATGTATGTGAATGAATGCACTTGTGGGTTTGGAAAATGTTAATTTAAAAATGAACTAGAAACTGACAGACAGGAAGAAAATATAATGGATAGTCTTCTTGGTGCTGGATTTTGCTAGAATATGTGCAATAAAATGAGATGATTTCTGAGATTAGGGAGGGATATAATAATTGTGCGGCTGAAGTTCAGGTGATAGGAAATAGCAGAAAAAAACATTATTTTCCCACTTTGTCTACAAAGACAAGATTTAGCTTCAACTTTGAAATTGGACCTAGGTTGAATAAAGCTAGGAAAAAGATTTACTTAAGAGATTATAGGTATAGGTCCCAGAGAAGAGTCAGTAACTGGCTCAGTGATATTAGGAGACAGATGAGTAGTTTTGACTTGAACCCAAACAATAAAAGACATAGTTTTGTTAATATATTGGAGCTGGGAAGTATACTTAAATGTTAGGAATCAGTACTTGTATAATTTGTACCTTGATGTTTTCCATGTAAAAATAAAAGTTAAATATTTTAAGCATCTGTAATGTAATAGGCCCTGTGCTAGACTATATGTTTACAAAGAGGAAAAATACTAATTTGGACCTTCAAGGAAGCACAGAGCCAATTGGGGAAGGCAAACTTATGTATGAACAAATATGTTAGTTGCCATAGGAAGATACGTACAAAGTGCAAGATAATTTAAATTCGGAAACAATGAACTATATATACTTTGAGAAAATCAAAAGGGATGAGCATGGATACTTTGATTTGAAAGTCATGTAATCAGAAAGAAATGACCCTTTTTACTTCATTCTGTCTGGCGGAATAAAAGAATGAGGGACTCGACTCTGGTCTCAAGATCATTGTCTAGAGGGACAGTGTCATCTTCTATTCTTTGGGCAGGGGTGCCAGAGGTGATCCTAAGTCTTTTGGGGTGCTTCTGACATTTCTATCACTTGATTAAAATTCTACACCATTCTGAGGCTCAAGACTAAACAAAAGCCTTTGCTCACTAACCCATCTTGCCCTGGTCTTTCATTTTATTTTTAATTCTCTAACATGTGTACCTTAATATGTTTATATTTATTCAGGATGGAAATGTATTATTTCAAAAATGTTTTATTCACATCTTGCCCATTTAGAATGTAAAATTTTTTTTGGCCTTTTAGGTCTTACATAGGGCCGAATAGTATGAACTTAATTAATTTTTGTTGAATTTTTGTTGAATTTTTGCCAGTAATTCTCTTAGATGCTTAATTGGTCAGCTTTTGCTGTGGCAACAAAAAAACCCCAAATTTTAAAGGCTTATTTGTCACAAGCATTTGGATGGCCATGCTCAGCTGGCTTAGCTGGTCTTGACAGTGCCTGAGTCCAGGCTAAGATCTGTTTATCATGGAACTCAGGTTGAAGGATCACTGTCCACCTGGGGTATGATCTCTTGGTAGAGTGCAGGAGCACAAGAAGGCTAACAGCAATAGCTCTTAAAAGAACTTTGTGGAACTGGCCCACATTCCACTGGTCAGAGCAAAGGATATGGCAAAGTACACACCCAAAATGAAAAGAATCAGAAAGTAGTATTTCCCTACTGGATGGGGGATAGGGGATTGAATGTTTATTGAATATTATGGCTTAATACAGATGTTTCTGAATTAAAACAAAAAATTAAAGGAACAGGTGAAGTTATAAATATGAAAAAAATCTGGTGGGGAGGAGGGCTTCTGAGGACCTAGGAGTGAGAAAGATTTAATTAAAACTATTTTAACAAAAGCAATATCAGCATTACAAGATAGGGGGCAGCAAGTGTCCTAGTTAAAAATGGGCTCTGGAGTCAATCCACTCTTGGTTCAGATTCTAGATCCACCACTTCCTGGCTGCCACAACCTTGAGTAAGTCACTGTATCTCAGTGTCCACATCTGTAAAATGAATGTGCCACTTATAAAACTGTTGGTTTTCAGCTCTAAATCCATCTTTAATTCTCCTATTTGTAATACTGGAAATTTCTACCTTGCCAGCTTTTGTTAAGCTTTGTCAGTAGAGAAACCAGAAGGAGACTGGAGAAGGAAGGGGTGTTTTCTTCTCGATTCTAGTGTGTCCTTTGCTGCTTGTTCCTGTAGCGTTCAGTGGCTAGCAGTGTGTGGGACACCCAATAACACTTAACTCCTAGGGAGTTTTAGTGGCAACACTCCTACATGCAGTTTCTCAATGAGTACCATACTATGGCATCTTCCCATGGGTACCGTCTCAAGTTCTGCTGGCATGAGTTTTCCTAGTAGATGGCTTTTCAGTGAATTCTGTTGGTGTGGCATTTTAGTAATTTTCTCAGACGTCCTCACCCCAGAGTCTGGTTCTCAGCCCTGTTGGGAGTGGCCCCGTTACAGATTTACTTTCTCGTTCTGCATCAGCCTTTGAAGTAGCGGCTGCTCCCTATATCTGCTATCTTTTTAACCTTTAGTACTTATGTCCCTGTTGTAATTAATAATACTGTATACTAAATTTTTCTCATTTAAATTGTCATGTGGTTTCCTGTCTTCTAATTGTACTTTGACTGATATCAGGTTTATAAATAGTACTTTTCTCATATGATTCTTCTGGAGATTAAATGGAATAACACATGGTATTGCAAAGTGTAGAATATTGTCTGCCACTGAGTAAGTCCTTATCTTTGTTGCAGTTGATATCATCATCACTGTCACTACCACTAGTTAGGAGTAACGTTTTTACTTTTTTCCACAGGATGTTTCGTCTTAACTCATTTTCTGCATTGGCAGAACTGGCTCTGGGCTCTCGATTGTACCATGGAGGATCACAGCCCACCCAGATCAGGCGACGACAAATGATGGTGGCTTTCCTGGGAGCTTCTGCAGTAACTGCAAGTACTGGTCTTTTATGGAAGAAGTGAGTATTCTTTGAGCATCCTGTTCCTGCATATACTTTTATTCTTCCATTTGTTTCTGTTATTTAAAAGGAATTGATTTGTGGCTTACCTTTGTATCAGAATTTTTTGACCATATCATTTATTTCAAAGAATTCAGCTATCATGTCCAAGTAACAAATAGGAAGTCTTCTGCTTCAAGATCTGCTTGTCATCTTTGCTGAACATTTTAACTAATTTAGCAATTTAATAATTATAATAAATTTATAATAAATAATATATTAATAAATTTAATAATTTAACAATTTAACATGTAAAGTTCAGTGATTTTAAGTATATTCCTAAAGTTGTACAGCCATCACCACTAATTCCCAAAAATTTTTATTACTTTCTAAGAAACTCCATGATATTTAGCAATCATTTCTCACTTTCTCCATACCCACCAGCACTAGGCAACCACTAATTTACTTTCTATCTATAGATTTGCTTATTCTGGACATTTCATACAAATGGAATTTTATGTGGTCTTTTGTGACTGGCTTCATTCACTTAGCAAAATATTTTCAAGGTCAATCTACATTGCGCTGTGTATCACTCTTTTCTTTCTTTTTATGGCCAAATTATAAAAGAAAAATATAAAAGGCATCTAGGTAGGAAACAGAGAGGTCAAACTGTCACTATTTGCGGATGACTTGATTCTCTATATAGAAAACCCTAAAGACTCCAGAAGGACAGTACTAGAAACAAAAAGCAAATATAGTAAAGACTCTGGATACAAAATCAATGTTCAAAAATCCATAGGTTTCCTATTGTTTAATAATGAAGTGTCAAAAAGAAATGGAAAAGATAATTCTTTTTGCAATTGCAACAAAAAGAATAAAATACCTAGGAATAAATTTAATGAAACAAGTGAAGGGCCTATATAACGAAAACTATAAGACCCTATTAAAGAAATCGAAGAAGATACAAAGAAATGGAAAGATATTCCGTGTTCTTGAATTGGAAGAATCAACATAGTTAAAATGACCTTATTACCTAAATAAAGCATTATATAGATGTAATGCAATCCCTATCAAAATCCCATCGGCATTTTTAAAAAAGAAATAGAACACAAAATCATCAGATTTGTATAGAAGCACAAAAGATCCTGAATTGCCAAAGCCATCCTGAGAAAAAAGAACGAGGCTGCAGGCATTACTCTGCTCTACTTTAAATTATACTACAAAGAGACAATAATCAAAATGGCATAGTATTGGCAGAAAAAAAAGACACATGGACCAGTGGAACAGAATCAAGAGTCCAGAATTAAACCCCTGTTTATATGAGCAAATAATTTTCAACAAAAAAAAGCCGAAAACATACAATGGAGAAAGGAAAGCCTCTTTAATAAATGGTGCTGGGAAAATTGGAAAGCCACCTGCAAAAGAATGAAACTAGACTGTTTAGAAGATTTTATGAATTTGACCTCAAAAGCAAGGGAAGTAAAAGCTAAAATAAATGAATGAGACTACATCAAACTAAAAAGCTTCTGCTCCACAAAAGAAATTGTCAACAAGGTAAAGAGAGAACCATCCGAATGGGAAAATATATTTGCAAGCAACACCTCCGATAAGGGGCTAATATCCAAAATATACAAGAACTCATACAACTCAATAACAATGAAAAAAAAAACAATCCAATCAAAAAATGGGCAGTGGACCTGAACAGACACTTCTCCCTTTCGAGGGATATTTTCACTGGATATGGAATTCTAGATTGATCTTTCTCTTTCTGGCACTTTAAAGATGTCATTTAATTGTCTTTAGCTTTGTTTTGGTTTTACTTTTTTCATTATAGTATCTTCATTATATCCAAGTATCCTTTTTTATTGTGGTAAAATTATGTATGCATAAAATTTACAATTTTAACCATTTTTAAGTTCAGTGACATTAAGTACATTCATATTATTGTGCCACCATCACCACCATCCATCTCCAGAACTCTTTCATCATTCCAAACTCTGTACCTATTAAATAATAATTTTCCAATCCCTTCTCCCCCTACTCCCTGGTATTCTACTTTTCCCCTCATCCTCTATGAATTTGGCTATTCATAGTCTATGAGTTTGGCTATTGTAGTATCTATATAATTGGGATAATACAATATTTGTCCTTTTGTTTTATGGCTTATTTCACTTAATATAATAATTTCAAGGTTCATATATGTCATAGCATGTGTCAGAATTTCCTTCCTTTTAAAGACTAAATAATTTTTTGTTATATATATACCTTTTTTTTTTTTTAGGTGAGGCAACCCTTGGTTGACCTCACAGATTACAAGGACCTTGTCAGCTTACAATCCCTTATTTTTTTTTTTTATTTTTTACTCTTACAGCACCTGGTCTTCCTAGGTGGTCTCCCATCCAACTACTACCCAGGCCCAACCCTGCTTAGCTTCCGAGATCAGACAGTATCGGGTTTGTTCAGGGTAGCATGGCTGTAGGTGTATATATTACCGTTTTGTTTATGCATTCATCTGCCAATGGATACTTGGGTTGTTTCCACCTTTTGGCTTTTTTGAATAATGCTACCCATGAACATTTATGCACAAATATCTCTTTGAGTCACTGCTTTCTCTTCTTGTGGGTATATAATTAGAAGTGGAAATGCTGGATCATGTCTTCAGCTTTTTTATAAAAAGTCAATGGTAATTTTTATCTTTGTTTTTATGTATGAACTATATCTTTTTTCTTGGCTTACTTTTATGATGTTCTTTATCACTTATTTTCAACAATTTGATTATGATGTGTTTTGGTGCTGTTTACTTTGTTTATTCTGTTTAGGGTTTATGGACTTTCCTGGACTTTGAATTTATAGTTTTCATGAAATTTGAACAATTTTTGCCCATCATGTCTTCATTACATTTTTCAGTCTCCATTGCCATACACACTCCACCCCCCGATACACACACAGTGTCTGAGACTTCATTAACACAGACTGATATTGTCCCACATATCACAAAGTAATGTTTACATTTTGTAGAGCCTTTTTTCTCTCTGTGCTTCAATTTTGGAAGTTTTTATTGCTCTTCAAGGTCATTGATTTATTTTTCTGTAGTATCTTCTGAGTCTACCTAGTGATTTTTAAAAAATTTTAGACATTGTATTTTTAAACCCTATAAGTGCCATTTTAAAAACATCATTTATATTTTTCTTATTTATATTCAGATTTTTTTAAAATTCTATAACATATTTATAATGATCTTTTTGAAGCCCTTTTCTTTTTGTTCTATCATCTCTGTCATTTCTGCGTCAGTTTATTATTCAGAGTCTCATTTACCTGTCTCCTTTTTTGTTAAATAATTTTGTATGAGACTGCTGCTTATTTATTGTAAATATATGTACCATGAAATTTAGCTTTTTAAATATACACTTAAGTGATTTTAAGTACATTCACATTGTGTGTAACCATTACCACCTTATCTCCAAAATTTTTTCATCTTTCCAAATTTAAACCCTATACCTATGAAACAATAACTCTCCATTCCTTCTTCCCCTGACCCCTGGTAACCACCATTCTACTTTGTGTCTCTATGAATTTGGCTATTCTATGTACCTCATATAAGTAGAATCAGGCATTTGTCCTTTTATATTTTGCTTATTTCACTTAGTAAAATGTGTTCAAGTTTCATCCGTATTGTAGCATGTGTCAGAATTTCCTTTTTATATTGTATACTCAGTAACTTATTTTTGTAGCTAAAGTTCTATTTATACTTGGTCTTTTAATGTCTGTTACAGAATTTAAAGTGATTTACACATCATCCTTATAGCATAACAGTATTCTGTATTTATCTGTGTATTTACCTTCACCAGTGAGCTTTATAAACTTTCATGTTGTTGTGTAGTTTTTTTGTTTGCTTAGCATTTTTTTTTTGTAATGTAGGTTTAGTGTTTTGTTTATCTGGGAACATCTGTATTTCTCCTTGATTTTTAAAGGATCATTTTTTTTTACCAGATATAGTATTCTTGGTTGGCATTTTTTCCTCTGAGCACTTTCTATATATCATCCTATTTCTTTATGGCCTGCAAGGTTTCTGCTGAGAAACCTTATGGGGTCTGCTTGTACATAATGAATTGCTTTCTTTCTCTTTTCTCCTGCTGCTTTTAATATTCTCCCTTTGTCTTTGACTTCTGACAAATTGATTGTGATGTATCTTATGTGGATTTCTTTGGGTTTCTCCTATTGGGAATCTTTTGGGCTTCTTCAGTCTGATTGTCCATAAACTTCTGCAGATTCAGGAAGTTTTGGGCCATGCTTTCTTTAAATAAACTTTCTACTCTGTTCTTGCTCTCTCTCCCTTCTTATTTCTGAAACTCTCCACAATGTATGTATTGATCTTCTTAACTTTGTCCCATAAATCCCTTAGGTTTTCTTCACTTTCTTTTATGTTTGTTTCTCTGACTGGATGATATCAGATGATAATATTTTTGAGTTTATCAGTTCTTTCTTCTGCTTGATCAAGTCTGCTGTCGAACGACCCCTAGGGAATTTTTTAGGTCGGTAATTGAATTCTTCAGTGCTAGAATTTCCATGCTTCTGTTTTATATTTTTATCTCTCTTAATAGATCGTTTTAATGCATCATTTTCTTGAGCTTATAAAGCATCTTTATGATGGGCATTTTGAATTATTTTCCAGATAATTAATATTCTTGTTTCTTTAGGATTAGTTTCTGGATATTTATTTCGTTCTTCTGTTTGGGCTGCATTTCTTTGTTTCTTCATGTGTTTTTTAACTTTGAGATTTGTGTTCTTAAAGAATCAGTCACATGTCACAGTCTTTACAGACTAGCTTCGCACAAAGGAAGACCCTCGGCAATCAGCCCAGCTGTGGATTTTAGGTGCCTCCGAAACTTTGGGGGAGGATACAGCTTCTCCAGGTCTGTGTGGGCCATTTCTCAGAGGCCTGCCAGTTTTTCAGGCGCTTATAATCTCTTGCTCCCTCTGGTGTTTATATGTGACACTGCACATTCTTTGGTCTATAGCATCAAGCCACCCTATTCTGTCTGTCTTCTCATCAGCCATCAGGCATTCAAAATATGCCAGTTTCCCATTAGCACCCAAAGTCAGATGAGACAGGTATCAATCCTTCAGACAACTCTCTGAAGAGCTAAAATGCCAGACACACATTCTACTTTTTTCCCTCCCATCCGAGGGAGAAGCCTTAAGTCATGAGCCTTTTCCCAACTATTCCAAGCTGTGCCAACTGTAGTAAGCCACCTCCTGCTTTTCTTTGTTCTCAGTGGCTCCTAGACATGCAGACTGTGCTACTTCCATCTGTGAGGTGAATAGGCAGAACATTTGATACCCATTCCAGTCTCCTCTTTCCCCTCTGTGGGAGAAGTTGCTAATTGGGGCATGCTGAGCTGAGCTTGCCTGCTTGGGGGAGGAGCTGACATAAGTAAAGTGAAATTGCTCCTCTTACTTCAGTGTTTCTGTTGGAATTATGCTTGCCTGGTGTACTGCACTTCTTAACTGGATCTGAGAAATCTCATTAAAGTATTTTGATCTGTATATCATTGTTGAATCAGTGCTTCTATGGGGGACAAAGGTTGGGACTTCCCATTCCACTATCTTGCTGACATCTAAGAATTATGTTATTGGATATTTTACATTGTGAATGTTACTTTGTTGAGTGTCTGGATTTTGTTGTTTTCCTTTAAAAGTATTTATTTTCATGCTGGTAGGCAGTTCATTTATTGAAGAACCTGCTTGATATTCCAAAAAAATTTTAAAGCTTTTTTAAAAAGCATGATTTAAAGTATCTTTTGCTCTAGGGCTAATTTAGCCCTACTAATAATATGACCCTTTAACAGTAGTTATTAAATGCCTTAAGTGTTTAATAATTTGTCAGAACTTGAACATTTCCTGCTTGTGAGTTCTAGAAGTTATTTGGCCTACAACTTCTTGGTTTGTTCTTTGCCCAATTTTGGATAGTTTAATCCTAAGAACATACTGCTTAATGTTGAATCAAGGAGACTGCTTGTAGACTCATGGAACTTTTTCTTAACTCCCTTCTCTCTGATCCTCTTCCCCACCAATTCCAGTCACTTCAGTCTCTCCAAACTTTGACCTGTCCTCTCAACTTAGCATGATTACTGTATTTTGCTTGGGATCCTCATCATGATCTGAAAAATGCCTCCAAACACTTCATGGCAATTATATGCCTCCCTTTCCTCAGAGAGTTGCTATCTCTTGTTCAGTATCTGAAGACATTTGTTCCAAATAGTTTGTTCAATTTTCTGTATTTTTTTCTCTGTAGAAAAGCACGTCTAGTGCAGTTAATCCATTGTGGTTGGAAACGGAAGTCCTCTTTCTATACATCATCATATTTCATCAGTTCTGTGACATTTAATCACTATTACATTGTTATTGCAATGGCTTCAACTATGAGGAAGAAAATAGGAAAAAACAAAGTGACTCTTGTAAGCTTGTAATTCCTAGGGTGGTAAAAGTTGTATAGATGTAATAGTGTGTAATCCGTCAACTACCCATGAGCAGCACTCAGAATATCATGGATATCAGCTAGTAAGTATTTTAGAAGAAATTATAAATGCTATTTAATTAATTGAACTGAGTGAAGCATGTACTTAGGGGAATTTCTATTATACCAGATGATACTGAATGTCTGTAGATTTTTTTTAGAACTTAGGTTTTCGAGAAGTCAGCTCACAAATCACTTTTTCCAGGAAACTTTTCCTGATCCTTTTCTCTGTCCTTACATGTTCTTTATCAGTTTATTTGTTTTACCTATTGACTGTATACTTCTTGTGGACAGAGACAGTCTTATTTATATTCATCTTAGCAAGTAGTGTAGCTCTTATAGCACTTGAATGATTAATTAAGTGAATGCTGTTTCTTTTCTTTGTGGAGAAATAGCTTGGGTCTCCACTTTACCAGCTCATCATCTTTTAGCTACACAAGACTCTACACAATGCAATATACATATGATGTATTGAATTGTACACTTGAAACAAAACAAAAACAAAAAATCAGTTACTGTTCTCGCTTATAAATTCAAATAATTCTTTGCCTTTGTATTTAGAAAATATTATTTGCAAGTAAATGAAATAAAAACTATTGATTTAAATTTTCTCTGAGTCACATGAAAGGGATTAAGAATTTTATCATATTGCAATATCTTAATCCCAGTGTATTTTTTCCCAGCCCCTTTTCTGGTTAACATAGATGAGGATTTTCATTTGATTTCCTTAATCAGCAACAGACATTGCATGCTTTCTCTGTGTAAAGTACTAAATTGGAAACTCTGGATACTCAAAATAAAAGAATGTAGTGTCCAGTCTCTTGTTAATGACTTTATCTATTAGGTTGAACATTGCTGATATTTGACAGTTTTTGATTTGTAAAAACAATATCATTTGTGTCCCCCCCAATAAATAAAGAGCAAGGTGGACTCTGGGAAAACATAAATAACCATACAGAGCACTAAATTACATGTTATGATTTAGTTACTAAATGGTATAGGAGTTTGAAGGAATAGAGTCATTACCTTGGATGAGGAAGTTGGGAAAATCTTCATAGAATAGATTGTCAGTTTCAGCCTCTAATCAGCCTGAGGGGCTTCTACTGAACATTCAGTTTTTTATTGCTTTTGATAATTGAATGAAACTGGAAAGCCCATCAGAGCAGTTGTATTCATGTGGAATATTTTTTTATTTACAAATTTTAATTCGAATGTTTGTTTTTGATTTTCCCCCACATGCACATTTTATTCTTTCAATGCACTTTTTTATTGAGGTAAAAAAAAAAAAACCATAAAAATTACCATTCTAACCACTTTTAAGTGTACCATTCGTTAGTGTTAAGTATATTCACATTGTTATCATGTAGATCTCCAGAACTTTTTCATCTTGCAAAACTAAAACTCTACACTTATTAAATAGTAATTCCTCTATTCCCACTCCCTGCAGCCCCTGGCTACCACCATTCTACTTTCTGTCTCTTTGCAGACCTCACATAAGTGGAATCTTACCGTATTTGTCTTTTTGTGACTGGTTCATTTCACTTAGCATAATGTCCTCAAGGTTCATCTATGTGTGGCATGTGACAGGATTTCCTTTCCTTTTTTGTATTTTTCAGTTTCATTTTAAAAAAATGTTTTTCAACATTAAAAAAAGAGTTGTACATAATTAGCGCATAGAACTTGACGAGTTGGAGATAAGTATACACTTGTGAACCATCACCACAGTCTATGCCATAAACCTCCCAAAATTTCCTCCCACCCTCTTATTATTATTACTATGGGGTTCTTTTTGGGATAAAACAATTAACATAAGATTTTCTCTCTTAGCAAACTTTTTGGTATACGATACAGTGTTGTTAACTATAGGCACTATGTTGTACAGGAGGTCTCTAGGACTTATTCACCTTGTGTAACTGAAACTTTGTACCCTTTGACTAATAACTCCCTATTTTGCCCACCACCACCTCCTGAAAACCACCATTTCACTATGCCTCTATGAGTTTGACTGTTTTATATTCATCATGTAAGTGGTACAATGTAATATTTGTCCTTCTGTGTCTGGTTTATTTCACTTAACATAATGTCCTCTAGGTTCATCTAAGTTGTTGCAAATGGCAGGATTTCCTTCTTTTTTAATGCTGAATGCTATTCCATTGTATATACATACCACATTTCTTTATTTATTTGTTGATTGATAGACATGTCTCGAATAATGCAGTGAACATGGGAATGCAGATATCTCTTTGACATCCTGATTTCAATTATTTTGGGTATAACCCAGAAGTGGGATTGCTGAGTCATATGGTAGTTCTGTTGTTAGTTCACACAGTTTCCATATATTTACATTCCCACCTACAGTGAGTGTACCAGGGATCCCTTATCTCCACATTGTCACCTACATTTGTTATCTGTGTGTGTGTGTGTGTGTGTGTGTGTGTGTTTAATGAATGCTATCCTGCCAGGTGTGAGGTAATATCTTGTTGCAGTTTTGATTTATATTTCCCTCATGATTATAGATGTTGAGCACCTCTTCATCTATATGTTAGCCACTTATGTATCTTTGGAGAAATGTCTATTCATTTGCTTTGCCCATTTTTAAATTGGATTATTTGTGGGTTTTTTGCTATTGTGTTTTAAGAGTTCCTTATACATTTCGAATATTAACTTTTTATTAAATATATGTTTTGCAAATATTTTCTCTCATTCCATACATTGCCTTTTAATTTTATTTTTTCCTTTGCTATGCTGAAGCTTTCTAGTTTCACGTAATCCTGCTTATCTATTTTTGCTTTTGTTGCCTGTGCTTTTAGTGTCATATCCTGTTCTTTTAAGGCTGAATAGTATTCTATGCGTATACCACATATTCTTTATCCATTCATCTGTCAGTGGACATTTGGGTTGCTTCTATGTTTTAGCTATTGTGAATCATGCTACTATTAATCATGCTACTATTAACATGTGTGCAAAAATCTTCTTATTACCCTACTTTCAATTCCTTTGGATATATAATCAGAATTGAGATTTCTGGATCATATGGTAGTTCTATTTTTAATTTTTTGAGGAATCCCTTTATGTAGAATTTTTCACAAATTTCATTGTTTTTTGCTCTTGCTAAGCGATATCTGAAAAATCTTTATTTGGTTAATATGATGGACCTTCATGATTAATATAGATTTCTTTTTTTGCATATCCAGAGCCCTTGCAGAATCTCCACCATCTGTAAACAACCTAAAGAGTGAACTTGATGATAAAGAGAAGAATAAAGATGAAGGGGAAGTTTGTAACCATGAAAAAAAGGCTGCAGGTATTTGTCTTGAGCCTTATCCAGAAGAGAGAAAGAAGAAACGTTCTGGATTCAGAGACAGAAAAGTATGGAACACTAATTTTATAAATGAATCAGAACAGTAGTTAACCCAAAATTAGAATGATGCAGTTGAGTCTCTTTTATGATGTATTTCATATGGTTCACAATCACTTTGAAGTTATTCACCTCTTTGCTATTTTTCATGTTCTAAGGCAAATGTACTCTTGGAATGTAAAGTTAATAAAGGTAGTAAAAATGATCTAAGATTAGTAATCAGGATTAACATGTATTTTCATTCTTTCAGTCTGACTCCCTAAGGCGATTCTTTCTTTCTGGATCTTTCTGATGTTGAATGTTCTCACATATGTTAATTGTGTCTTTGTGGTATTACTTATTTATGATGTCAGGTTAGAAAGGCAGAATAAAATCTCTTTGGAAATATACAAATATTTCCAGAAAATAAACTAATTTTGAGGACAGCATAAACTTCAAATGACTTCAGCATTCTATATCTTTAACATAACCTGCTGTTTATACAGCTCTACCTTAGAAAAGTTTCAGTTCCACTATAAAAATGCTTGTGATATTGGGCATTTGAATTCAGCAGATGTGAATGATGAAAAGTCAAAACAGAGTGAATTTATTAGATATTTTGTATGTTAACATTAAAATTCAGGGAATTACCTTCACTTGCTAAAATATAGCTAATCAGTGCAAGAAGATAATTTGAGTTATTTCTGTGTTGTGTGTGTTTGTGGCATATATTTGCAAGAAGAGTTTCTTTGAGATATTTGGATCTTCTGTTTGTCTGTTTGGAGGAAGTTACTATATATGTCTTCTCATTTCCCAAATCTATTATTTATTGAGGTGAATTTGAACAAATTATGTATCACAAGTAATTGTCAACTATCCCAGTGTTTCCACAATGATACATTTATTTAATATTTTGCCCTGAGTGATTTCAAAGAAAGTTCCAATTAATCTTGCTGCAGCCGTTTCATTTAGAATCAAACTTTATAAAGTAAAGCTAAAATGACCCAAATAAACATGTGTTTTTGAACCTTCCATTTTCTTCTCCCGCAATCTGCTTAGCAGATGTCCATATCTCATACTTCACAGAAAAAAATGAAAGCTATCAGTGTAATTAATTTGTAACTCCCATAGCTATAAAACCTTTCTAATCTATGTTTAAAACAGTACTTATTTCTTTCACTAAAGTCTCAGTGGAAGAGCTATTTTTCCTGTTGGAAGATAACCGTTCCGTGTATTATCCTGTTTTCCCAAGAACCTATTTCAACGCTTATTCCTTCTCTGTGCTCCTTTTACAGTTGCTCTTTGTCTATTCATTTTTCACATAGTCTACATAGGCATGTTAAATATTCTTCTATCTTTAATAAATAATAAACCACATTTTTGATCATGCATTTTTTCTAGCTACTGTCCCATTTACATTCTTTCCCTGTAATACCAAACTGCTCCAGTCTCAAATGCTGTCTTTGACCTCCTCACTTTTCATTTTATCCTTTTTTGCTTTTGTTCTTTTATGTTCTCTTGATTTTCATGTAGTATTTCAAATATCCAAGAAGAAAACAAAGACTACTGTAATGAACATGCATATCCCCAACACTCATTTTTGTCAAGTTTTAATGTTTTGCTATATTTGCTTCATTTTTTTTTTAAGGAAAAAATGAAATGACTATAAAAGATACATTGCTGTATACTATCCTCAATCCTATTTTTCTCTCTGTCTCTTCAGAGGTAAACCAGTGTCCTGAACTTGCTATTTATTATTTCCATGTATGACCTAGTTGTTTTATATATTTAATTTTAGTTTAGTTTTAAAAAAATTATTTTTTAAATTTATTTTTTATTTTTTTATTTTTTAAATTTATTTTATTTAGTTTCAGGTATGCAGAACATTGGCTAGACATCTATATAGTTCATAAAACGATCCCCTCAATTGCTCCCTTTCTCCCCTGACCCTCCACCTAGCCAACGTATTAATGCTAACTGCATTCCCTATGCCATGCTCCCCATCCCCACGACCATCCATCAGCTACTAATTTGTACTTCTTTAACCTTTCGCCCCATTCTCTTAGCCCCCAAACCTCCCTCCATTCTGTCTGTCACCAAATTGTCCACTATATTTGTGAGTGTGTTTTGGTTATTCTTTTTATTCCTTAGATTCCACATATAAATGAAATCATATAGTGTTTATCTTTCTCTGTCTGACTTAAAAACTTTCTAGGTCCATCAAAGCAAATCTTTTTCCATCCCCTTCCTTTTCATATGTAGGGGTCTTGTTTTCTTTTTCTTATCCTTTCAGCCACTCTGTCTTTTGGTTGGGGCACTTAATTCTTTTCCATTTTAGTTACTTATTAGGTACTTATGTAGTTGTTACCATTCTTTATTCCTGCTTTTGATAAATGTTTTTTCTTTTTAAAGAAGTCCCTCCAGCATTTTCTGTCATACTGGCTTTGTAGTGATAAATTCCTTTAGCTTATTTTGTCTAGGAAGCTCTTTATCTGTCCTTCATCTCTAAATGATAGCTTTGCTGGATAAAGGATTCTTCGTTATAGATCCTGGGTCTTCCTCCTGTCAAATATTTTGTGCCAAGCCCTTTTGTCCTGCATAGTTTCTTTTGAGAAATCAGCTATCAGTCATATGGATATTCCCTTATGTGTAATAATTTGTTTTTCTCTTGCTGCTTTTAATATTCTTTCTTTGTATTTAACCTTTGGCATTTTAATTATGATGTGTCTTGATGTGGGCTTCTTTGGATCCCTGGTTGTTGGGATTTTCTGAGCTTTCTGGGGTTTTATGTCCGCTTCCTTCATCAGGTTTGGGAAGTTTTCCATCATTATTTCTTCAAACAGCTGTTCAACATCTGATTTCCTTCAGTTATGCTGATCAGACGGATAGTTGGACCCTTCATAGTGTCTCATGGTCTCTTTAAATTATTTTTATAGTCTTGGCATCTTATCTCTTGCCATGCTGATTGCGTGTCCTTGGCTTTCCCATCTTCTAGATAGGGCATTTGATCCTCTTCTTTATTCATTTTGTTTATTCCTTTGTTTATTCCATTTAATATACTTCTCATCTCAGATAATGCATTCTTCAATGGTTTCTGCTTCTTTGTCTTCCCATTTCGGCTGCCTTTCCGTGTCTGTTTCTATGTACTAAGCAAAGCTCCTAAGTCTCCTGGTCTTATTAGTGTGGATTTGTGTACTATGTGTCCAGTGGCACAGTCCTAAGAGGGGTTCAGCTACAGGCCAAATTTAGCCCAAGCCTCTATCCCTCCTGGGCCACTTGTGAAGATTCGGCAGGCAATCCACAGATGCTGTGCTTATAGTTGCCCCAAAAGGCCATGCTAGAAACCGAGGCCAGCTGCCTCTAGTGTGAGTCTAGGTGCTGCTCAACAAGAAGCACCTGACTTGCTGAGAATACACCTGGGTGTGGTTTGGGTGGGGCTGTGAGTTGGGGAAGGCTGGATTTCAGGGAATCCCTCTGGGCATAGCGACCTCTGTTATCCAGTTTGATGACATCACTGCTATGACAGCACTGTGTCTGGAGCACTGGTAGCGGGTAGGGCTCAACAGGGAAATATGGTTACCACCAGCACTTCTGTACAGAGCAAGTCTTGCCTCGGCCCTCACTCCAACAGTATCTCCCTGTAAGTCCCTGGTGCCCCCTGTGCACAGCCCAATGGGCACTGGTGCTCAGAGAGAGCAGGTCCGGCTCAGCGAAAATCCGCTCACAGATACAGCCCCTTTAAGAGGCATCTGCCGCTGCCGCAGCCTCCGTTCCACTCAGTCACTCGAGACCAGGCAGTCTCACATCCTCGCCCTGTCCTACCTTCTGCCGTTGCAGGGCGATTTCTTGGGTTTCTCCCTAATTGTACGGCTTGTTCATCTAGATCCCAGGCAATTTTCCTTGCTGCTGCTCCCTGTTTCTGTCACAACTTTGATTTGGTCGCCAGAGGGATGAACAGAGCCTCTATCATCTACGCCATGTTTTTTTTCCCCCCTCCTTGCAAAAAAAATTTTACAGGTGCAAAGAGTTAAGACAATCATATCATGTAATTTATGTGTACAATTTTTGTTTGTGCATCCTTCTCTTTTTGTTTCATTTTTTTAATTTTTAATTTTTTAGTTTTTTATTTTATTGTCCATTCCGAAACTTCAAGTCCTTAATTTTGAAAAGTTGGTTGTGATATCCAAGAAATCATTGCTAAATCCAATGTCATGAAACTTTTGTCCTATATTTTCTTCTAGGAATTTTATAGTTTTAGGTATTTCATTTTGGTCTTTGATTTATTTTGAATTAATTTTTGAATATGGAGTTGGATAAGGGTGCAACATCTTTTTTTTGCATGTGGATATCCAATTTTTCCAGCACCATTTGTTGAAAAGACTGCCCTTTCTCCATTGAATGCTTGTGGTACCCTTATCAATTTGATCATGTGTGTGAGGGTTTATTTCTGGGCTGTCTATTTTATTTCATTGGTCTATCTTTGTCTGTCTTTATGGCGGTACCACATTCTTTTGATGACTGTAGCTTTGCCATAAGTTTCGAAATTAGAAATTGGGTGTCCTCCAACTTTGTGTTTCTTTTTCAAAATTATTTTGGCTATTCAGAGTCCTTTGAAATTCCACGATGAACATTTAGGTTGTTTTCATACCTTGGCTATTGTGAATATGTTGCAATGAACATGGAAATACAGATGTCTCTTCAAGATAGGAATTTCATTTCCTTTGGACATATACACAAAGATGGGATTTCTGGATCATATGGTAGTTCTGTTTTTAATTTCTCGAGGAACTCCCATATTGTTTTCCATAATGGCAAAAGGGTGCCCTCTCTCCACATTCTCACCAATACTTGTTATCTTTTTTCTTTTTAATGATAACTATTATAATGTGAGATGATAACTCATTGTGGTATTGATTTGCATTTCTCCGTTGAGCACCTTTTTGTGTGCCTGTCAGCAGTTTTTGGATGTCTTCCTTGGAAAAATGTCTATTTAGGTCCTCTGCCAATTTTTTAATTGGATTGTTTATTGTTT